CTCATTTTCATTTGGCTGAGACAAAGAAAGTAACCTGCATCTTGTGTTGGAAGCATCTCTGGAGTCCAAGTGTAAGGGAGAGTGGGCTGGCCCTGCCCTGTGTTCTGCTGAAAAGCACTGGCTATGCCTGCAGTGGTCGTTCAGCACAGAAACTAATTAAGGAATTAGAGAGAATGGGTCCTGAGTGGCCGTTTTCAGGCCCTGCTGTAGGCTCATAAGGTCTGTGGTACATCAGCAGCACGCTGCCACAGCCAGCTCAAGCAAATGAAAATGACATTTCCCTAATCTGGAGGTGCCATATTAGCCCAGTGCCATCCATGGCTGCTTTGTTGTGACTTAAATATGGACACAGGCCAGGATTGTTCCTGTAGAAGGGACAGAAGTTGGTGTGTGAGAATAGAAATGTGTGCTTGGTTCACAGGGGAATTGGGATTTCTTCAGTCTGCAGGCAGTGGAAGAAGTGCAAGGTTTTAAATAGGGTTATCTCTCAGTGGCTGTGTGGAGGTACTGAAGAGGAGAAAAGGCAAAAAATGCAAGGATTGTTTGGGAGGCTGAGCAGAACGTGAGTTCAAGGCCCAGCAATATAACATTTGCAGACCCTTTGCACGTAGTCCATGCCAAGAGTATAATAAAGCTGGGCTGCACTTTGGCCTTAATTTTTTTTTTCATGCTTTTCTTAGGCATGAAAAGTGATAATTTTGGAGTTCTAATGTGACTAATTCTTACTGCTCTTAAAATAGCAGCTCAGTTACAGTCAGTATGCAGCAATGTATAGGAGTAAATGTTCCTGGGAAAGAAATTGCTAATTATATGAAGACAAGGGTCCATTATATTACATTGCTTTCCCATCTTTGTAATGCTTTGCCATGTTTTGCATGTCACTAATGCCAATTTTTCTCTGGTAAGCCTGCAGTTATTTGCATTACCATGCCTTGAAGGGGGTTTATGTGACAGTGACTGCTGTGGTGTAGTGCAGGAGCACAAGGAGTCCATGAAGAACCTGTGCCCTGGAATGTGAGCAGGAGATGCAGGAAACCTGTGCTCATAATGCAGTGCCCCTTCTCTCTTCATGTTGCCCTCTATTCCTGTAACTGCATTTGATTTCTGCCAGGCTTTTCCTGACCCCATGCAGCAGCACAGTCCCAAATTAATAAGGGTCTGTGTTGGCAGCTTCTTCATAACCTTCTGGCCTCTTTCAGGGATTTTTTCCCCTTGTGCACAGAATGTTGGATGCAGTACCCCAGTATTTCTTCTGGTGGTTGCTTTCCTGGGTAGGCTCGGGTAATCTCTGGTTTTTTTCCTTTCCTTTGCAAATTAATTGCTGAAAGAACAGTTTTTTGTTCACTGAGTGGCTACTGAAGGATTGAAAAGGAAATGTCTCCTGTTGTGTTCTACCATTCAGGAGAGCTGTGTCTAGCTCTCTTCTTGAATATGACTTAAAAATGGCATTGAAATTGTGTTTCAAGGTGTGCTCGTTGTGTTCCAGTCATCATGACAGCATATATTAATTATTTGCTCTGGTTTTCTTTGCCACTCACTGGCTGGGATTTTGTTCTCTGCGCTTTGTTATTGCGGGAAGGTTGAAGTTTCACCATCATGGTGCTTCCACAAATTACTTTTGAGAATTTGCACACCATCTGTGTGCAATAATAAAGCTTTTAGCAGCTCCAGATTGCCATGCTGGTGGTGGGGAGTGTGGATGAAAGCCAGCCCAGTGAATTAAGGTCATGTCCCTACTGGGGACAGAAAGCAAGCTCTGGGTAAAGCGATCTAGACAATCCCTGGGAAAGGCATCTGGTTCTGGTAGCACTTTGGCAATCACAGTTAGGGCTGTTAATCTTCAGGTTTCCAGCCACTGAAAGGTAGCAGAAGACACATGGAGACTCACTCCAGGTGTTAACAGACACCTGCAGGAACAATACTGCATGTTCTGGACAGGCATAGGTGGATGGAAAGGGTTGTTGAGTAGAAAACACGAAAAGCGAACCAGACAGGCTAAAAAAAAACCAAATAATGATACAAAGAGAAGGAGACAACAGCCAAAACAGACAAATTTTAGAAAGGATTAATACAGCTATTGAATCTGTCAGCAGAGAAGTTCTTCATAATATCATCATTAAAAACCTGACATTTACAATATTGAGGAGAAAATAAAAAGCTTTTGGATATAGGTCTGCGTGGGAGGAAGTAATGTTGAAAGGAAAAAGCCATGAACTGTTGTACCAGATAAATACACTATATTAAGAAAATTACAACGTGAGAGGGACATCTTGTGGCACAAATAAAATAAAAAGTAATAGTCCAGTGTCAGGATGAGTATCCTGGAATGTTACTCTGGGGTCACCATTTCTGGGAGAAATCCCAGGCCTGGTAGATTAATTTGTTCCAGTCTTTCTTGCAGCAGGATTCCTGCTACCCACTTTCTCATCTTCCCACCTTTTTGTCTCCAAGAGATGAGGATTATAGAACACAGACGTTCTACCAAATATACTTGTCTGTCTTGCTGCAGATGATGCTAGTTTTTAATGAAGAAATAGATTAAAATGTCACTACCATTACTTGACTGAATATGTTGTCATCGGTAGCATAAAATGTGACAGAACCTTAGCTGTGGGTGGCTAACACTTATTTTCTATTTGTATCACAATCATATTTCCATATGTTCCTATAAATCAAAAAGAATACGTTGAATTTTCAGGAGGGCAGAGGGCCATGACTGTATACAATCATCTGAAATGGAACCTACCATGCATCTGTGCGTCACAGTGTATGATTGTCAGTGTGCCTGAACCTTGAGATTCCTCGTTTGATTGGTTTTGATCACATGGTGATAAAAGTTTAATTATCTTTTACAAGCAGCAGTTTTCCCAGGAGTTGTCATTGTAACTTTGAATAATTTCTGGAGTACTTTTCACTGCCTTAGACAAGGTGGTGCTGTGTGGTGTAGAGTGGGAGAAGTCTGTACGCCACAACAGTATTTTCAGTCTCACAGACATCAGCCACCTCAGTCACAGCTTTTGGTGTCTTTAGGAGAGGTTCTCGTTGGTTGTGCACCCAACCAGAGAGCTGGGGAGCAGGCACTGTACCCCACTTACCTTCCAGGTACAGTTTGCTTCACCTTCTGGGCTGGCTGCAGGTGCAGGGATGGGAGGAGGTTGGAGCTATTGCTGGTTTGGGTGTTTTAAGCAAGCAGGAGTGAGCTGGCAAGAGCACTGAGTGGAGTCATTGCTCTCAGCTTGGGAGAAACAATAGAATGTCAGTTAAAGGAAAAAACAGACGTGGCTCTTCTACAGAAATACCTCGGCTCTAAGGGCGTTAAGCTTTTCATAAAAACCTGAACACTGGGGAGTTTTTCATTTCATGGTGCATTTTCTGTTTGAAAATTGCAGCAACCAGATGTCATTTTGGTTGGGCTCAGTATTTCCGTTGCTACCTTGCTTTTATGTATCTGAATAGGAAGTTCAGTGTAACATACTTTTTCATGGGGCTGTTTATAAGGTGTCTGTTCGTGCCCAAGGATCCAGAAATACTATTTGAATCAATCGGTATGTAAATCATTCTCTGCTTTGGAAAGATAGGAGATCATTTCTCCAGCAGTAATTCAATCATAGCTTGTTTTTTGAAAATCCACAATACCCTGGCCTAAATTTATTTCAAAGTTTATGTTTCCTAGCTACGGTTCTAGTACTTTAGTTGCCATGAGTAGAAACACCATAAATTAAAAAAAAAAAAAAAAGTGGACAATAGTAAAGAGATCTTTTTTCGGTTAAAGATAGGGCAGAACCCCCAAGTTTTTGTTTTCAGGCATTTGTACAAGACTGACTAAAAATCTGCCAAGTCATGCTGTTGTCCAGCACAGATTTTTGGCCACCACAAGTGTATCATGAAGTGTTTCTTGTACTTACTGGTCAGCTGAAAACCTGAGAGTTGTGGCTCAATTGCTTTGACATCTATTCCTGTGGCCACAATTAATTTCCCATTGGGTATTCCGCAGAATGACCAATGTTTAACTTAGGTTAACCAAAACCTTGGGTTTGTTGGTATTGGTTGAATTCAGAGTGTGGACTTAAGCTTGTAAGGATGCCAGTTGCACACTTTGATGTCTGACTGAATGATTTTGATTGTTGAAGAACTTCACTCCGGTTTTTTACTGGTTTCATCCATTCAAATACAAATTCCTGTAGCAAGGGCTTGCCCAAGTGGTGGCAGTGGAGCAGCCTGGTGTCAGGGTCAGAGAATGAGTTCCCACATACCTGGGAACATGTTTTCCAGCCTGTCAGTTGATGCTCGTGACAAACAATAAACCAGAGCTGTACCTTGTTATGCCTCTCTGCCTTCAAAGAGGTTTTTCTGGTTAAATAGTGAGATGGTATTAACTCAGGGTGTGAATACAAGTTTAAGTGCCGTGCTGTGAATCTCTCACGTCTTTGCTGGCTGGAATGTCGCTGGGTTTTCTGCTTTGGTGTCCGATGTCAGGGACGGCGATGCCTTTGCGTTCTGTGTGTTTCTCTGTGTATGGAGGGAGGCGCCTGCCTACCTGGAGCAGCATCTGGATTAATGGTGGGACATCGTTCTCAGCTTTGCCCTTGGTTTCAGGTGTCTCCTGTGAGCAACACACAGTACACCTAGGAAAGGCACGTTTATTCCAGAATAGGTATTTCGCCAAAAGGGCTGCGATGGAAAAGCCTTTAAGTGACGCCGAACCGCGTGAATTCAGGGCGGTGATGGACGGCTGGCGCTCGCCGTGCCGGGTGCGGGAGGAGGAGCTGGGTGTGTGTCCCTGCGGCACCGGCGGCGCGGGGACGCCAGGGCCGGGACCCGCGTGCGCTGCCGGGGGCGGCGGGGTCGCGCCGGGTGAGGCTCCCACCGCCACCGGCCGCCCGTGGATCCGCCTCGCCGAGCGCCCGCGGAGTGCCAAGCCGCCTTGCCGAGGCTGCCGAGGCGCTGCCCGGCTCCCTGCGCGCCGGGGCGGGCGGATGGGGGCCGGGGCTGCGAAAGCGCCGTGCAAAATGGAGCCAGCGGAGAAGGGCTGGACCCCCGCCCTCCCCGCCGCGCATCCCCCCGCCCGGCTGCCGGGGCTCCGGGGAGGCGGCATCGCCTCCCGCTGCCGCCGGCGGGGCGTGGGGAGGGAGCGGGGCTGGAGCCGGGGCCGACGGGGAGCGCTGAGCAGGGCGTGGGGAAGGAGGGGAGCGGCGGAGGTGGCAGCGCGGGGGAGAGGCGGTTCTGTAAAACACTTTCCCCTTCTCTCTGTCAGCCTTTGGGAGGACTCTCGTCCTGACTCGGTGGAGGTTCCTCTCCCTCTTCCCCCAGCCCCTCATCCCTCCTCGGCGCGGCAGCCCACCCAGGAGGGCATCAGTATCAGCCCTCTCCGGTGCGCCGGGGAAGTTGCTGACATGCCTGCCGCTGGGTCCCGGTGCAGCGGCAGCGGCGGGGAGCCGGATTTAAAGGGGAATTGTGCTGCAGACAATGCACAGCAGCAGCATCTGGAGCAGCCCTGGGGACTGGAGCTCCGGTTTTGACATTGCTGCACACACAGCACCAGCCGCAATGACAGCAGCTGCCTGGAGTGGCTGCAGGCAGCAGGCAGGAGCATGAAGTAGAGAGATCACTGCAGTGCTCAAGATGAACTCCTCTTTGGTTGGCAACCAGAGTGGCCGGCCCTTCTGTCTCCTGGCCATTAGCTATTTGGAGACCATCAATTTTTGCCTCCTGGAAGTGGTTATTATTGTGTTCCTCATGGTGCTGATTATTTCGGGCAACATTATTGTTATATTTGTCTTTCACTGTGCACCTCTGCTGAACCACCACACCACCAGCTACTTCATCCAGACTATGGCGTATGCTGACCTCCTGGTGGGCGTGAGCTGTCTGGTGCCTTCTTTGTCTCTGCTGCACTATCCTATTGTTTTAAGTGAGTCCTTGGTTTGCCAAATCTTTGGTTATGTGGTATCAGTGCTGAAGAGCGTCTCCATGGCCTCCCTGGCCTGCATCAGCATTGACAGATACATTGCCATCACGAAGCCCCTGACCTACAACACGCTGGTTACCCCGTGGAGGCTGCGGATCTGCATATTGACCATTTGGCTCTACTCCTGCCTGGTCTTCTTACCCTCCTTTCACTGGGGAAAGCCTGGATATCACGGGGATGTGTTCCAGTGGTGCGCCAATTCCTGGAACACCGATCCCTATTTCACCCTCTTCATTGTGGTGATGCTCTACGCCCCGGCCGCCTTCATCGTCTGCTTCACCTACTTCAACATCTTCCGCATCTGCCAGCAGCACACCAAGGAGATCAACGAGCGGCGCGTGCGCTTCAGCTCGCAGGACGGGGAGGCTGGGGAGGCCCAGCCCTGCCCGGACAAGCGCTATGCCATGGTCCTCTTCCGCATCACCAGTGTCTTCTACATCCTCTGGTTGCCCTACATCATCTATTTCCTGCTGGAGAGCTCCAATGTCTACAGTAACCGCGTGGCGTCCTTCTTGACCACTTGGCTTGCCATTAGCAACAGTTTCTGCAACTGTGTCATTTACAGTCTCTCCAACAGTGTCTTTCAGAAGGGGCTGAAGCGTCTCTCGGGGGCCATCTGTGCCTCGTGTGCTAGACAGAGGGTAGCTAAGGACTCCTCTACCTCTAGGAGCAAAAGATCTTCCAATGGATGTCATGTCTAGGACGCCTGTCAGCTGGACTGGGAAGTGCAGGGACAATTGCGTAGATTGCAAAATAACTTAGATATGATTTTAAGATACCCAGATTTGCAAAAAGGTTTCTGAGAAATGCTGCTGACATAGAAGGATCAGGAGCACATGTCGTTGTGGTTTCACTTTAAAAAATTATTGCTGTGGAGGAGGCTGTGGAGTTTCACCTCCACATTCATTTTAAAGAATAAAGCTGTATCTTGACACTTACCTCTCCAGCTGGTGTGACTGAATGGAGTGGGTGTCTGAGAGCTTCGGCAAAATGTAGTCTTTCTTACAGCTTTACTGGGTTCTTTGGAGATTCGTGCTTCACATGTAAATGATAGATCTGAAGTGGAAATGTCACAGTCTATGGTATATTACAGGGATTTTTTTAATATATGCCAAAGTATATTGACACAATGTTCCAGCGTCAGAACAGAAGGGGCCAAACAATTTGTTTTTCAGTGCTACCTAGACAGGACTTGTAGAACAGGAGTGAACAATGTGAACATTTCAGTGTGAACTCTGTTGATGAGCCGTGAGTGCAGCGGTGTGGTCTGGGCAGTCGTACTCCTAGGGCTGATCTGGCTTCCGTGCCCCGTTTCCCTGGTAGGATGCATGTTTGGATCTGAGTGCGGCATCTGCGTTTTCCTGTTTGCTGTGAAGGAAGAAGAAAAACTTGGATCAGACCAAATTTAGCAGTTAAATAAAATGTGTTTTGATAAGCTAAGAGAAAAGACGTGTTGCTTTATGATACCAGAGTTGTGGCAGCCACTCAAGGATGATGCCAACATGTGAAAATTGTTCTCAAACCAGTGGAGAAATGCCGCGGGTTTGTATGTGGAAATTTTCTCAAGAACAACTTTAAAAATAACATGTCCCCTCTTTTTTTTTTTTTTTTTAATCTAAATTCTTCTGATATTTTACATACTGGAACTTAAGGGGAAAGGAAAGAAAACAATTGTCTTCTAAACAGCTAAGGGAACTATGTTGTAAATTTAACTGTAGTATTTGAGTTATTCATAAGTGCACAGAGCTAAATCAGAGACATTTTTCTTTAGCCTTCATGGGATTAAAGATGGTTCAAATATAGCAGGAGCTAAATCCTGTTGGCAAAAGCATATCTAACTGGTCAGACAAAGGCAATATCTGAGGAACCAAATCTCATTGACCACAGCTTGTTCAAGCTAGCCTAGATTAAATGTTTTGAGTACTGTCGTGCTGTTAAGAAGGCAGAACGGCCCTCAAATTGTTGAGTTTTTCCTAAAGAATATCCTTGTCTTTTTACTCTCCCGTTTTGGAAATGAAAGTGAACCAAGTATTGCTGTGGTGGTGGATTGCAGTGTCACCCTGTCCCTGGCGCAGGGCTGTCCCTCTGTCTCTCCTGCTCTGAGAGCAGGTTGTGCCCCCGACCATCTGCCCTCTGTGGCCCTCCTTGTGCTTCCCGTCACTGCCTTGGGCTGCTGAGTGGGGAATTCCCTGAGCTCCTCTGGTACAGCTGGTGTGCTCTTAGTCACAGTGGGAATGAAAAAAAGATAGGGAAAATAACGTGATATTTTTAGAATTGGGGTAATTCTCTTGGCCAAAGGGAAGGCTTTGTTTTTGTTAAATCGTTTCAAGTCTGTGTTGTTCTAGATCAAGATCATATTTTTAATACTCTGCCCTGTCCCTCCTGCAAACTCCCCCCTCCTCTCTGCTGTGCTGTGAGCCCTGGCCTCTCCTCTCTATGCCTTGCCCTGGAGGATAGCAGCTTGTCTGCCCCATCACATGCCAGGATTGCTACAGCCCAGCCCTGCTGCCCATCCACATTTGCTCCAGTGCACTCATGGGGCTGCCAGTGAGGAAATGGGGAAGGAGAGAGAGAGCAGCAGGATGAAGCATTCCTGGCATGGCATGTATTTGTCAGCACTCACTGCTGGTACCCTTGAGTTCCTCTCCTGGATGTGAGTGTACCTGTTCAGGGAGGATGGGGCAGAGCCCCCTGCTGCTGCTGCCTCCTTCTGTTGGAGGGCCCTGGGACAAAGTATTTAAATGGCATCTTGATCAGCTTCCAGCTATTTCATCCATAGTCAGTCCAAACCTCTCAAGATAAACATCCTCTTCAGTTCATCTGAAATTTTACAAGCACAGGTTGTCTAAACCCTGCTGCTTTCACGCCACCATTTCTTGCTCTGTAGTAAAGAGCAGAGAGGAGCTTGTGCTGGGTCCTTGCAGACACACCTGGGGGGCTTTGCTTGGCACAGCCCTTCAGTGGGAATTTTGGTTAGACACAGCCAGCCGTGGGGGAGCACAGGGCTGGAGTGACTCACTTGGAGAAGAAGTGGGATAAAAAGCTCCTGCACATCTCTGGCTGATTGTCTCTGTGCTCTGTGGGTGTGATGGCAAAGGTGGGCTTGGGGAACAATTCAAGGGCTTTAGTCACTAATATCAAAGTGTGTGTGTGGTATTTTTGGAACAGCCTCTCAGGTAAACTCCCGTAGCCTTTCTCTGACTCTTCACCTTATCTAACATTTCCAAGTCTTTGAAAGGATGCAGTGTATCACTGAAATAGCATTTGATTGAACTTAATAGAAGAGAAGAATCTGCTGGGGCCTAAAACCCTAGAAATGGCAGTTTCAGGTTTAAGTGGAAGCTGAAAAGCAAAGATTGTTACTTTTAGGCTTTTTTATGGCTAAATAGAAGGTTTAAATAGGAGCATTGTGTGCTAGTTTTTGAAAATTTTGAAAGTTTTTGAAACTGGTAAGGGGTCTAAATCATGGCATAGAGATTTAACTGGAGCTGAAGCAGATGCTCCTTCAGCCCTGAGCCTGGGATTGCACTTGGAGCGTGGTGGCTGATCCAGATGCAGATGCATTCTTGCAGCTGTTGCTGCTTTGCAGCAAAGGTTCAGTTCTAACATTCCTGACAGCCAGGCTGTTTTCAGTTGCCTTACTCATCTCCAAGTCTTCCTCAGCTCAGACATTTCCTGTAAGAGGTGAAAATCAGAGTCTGGAAGTCTCCAAGTGATAAGGATGGAGAGCAGTTACAGCCAATTGATGCATTCAAGTTTCATCCACTGTACAGACACTTCTGGTGTTGCCTCATTAGTTTGGTTTTAGTGTCAAATAATTCTTTTTTTGTCTGTGTTAATTTATTGATATTTTAAAAATTTAAATTACTTTTTTTCCCTCTTAATTTAATGTTGATGTGGTATGTGTAGTATGTGTTTAGGTGTTTTAAATATTTATAGCATTTGAGTCTGTTGTCTTCAGTGAAATTGCAGGGGGTGAATTCTGTTCACTGTGCCAATGGTGGGAAAAATAATTTTGACAAACCTTTGTTTCTCAGCAGTGCACTGAACACCTTTTGTCATGCACCCAACACAGGCACAGGGTCCTTCCCATCACACTCCGTGCTAGGAATGGTCAGACAGCAAATTTTACAGCTGGGTCATTTTCATCCTCCACATGTGAAATGAATCCACTTCTGGCTCTGTTTGTGTCTGGGTGCTTTGGAAATCAGTGGTGAGAGCATTGCACAGATAAATGCCACGCTGAGGAGAGGACAGAAATCAGATTGCATCTTCATAAAAATGGGACTGTGATATGATTAAATGAACTAATTTTGAAGTTCCATCTCGAACTATAAATTTATTTTTTATTAGAGTTATCTGCCTCACTTTCAAATTAAGCTGCTGGAAGGTTCAATTTGCAAGATGCAATTTGGTGGCTTTTTTTAGTGCCATGGGAAGGATTTCTATACTCACAGCTTCTCAGAAGATGGTAATTTGCTTCATGTAGAAGTCCTTTTTTTTTTTTTTTTTTTTTAAAGAAAAAAAAATATTACTGGAAGTTTAGGTTGTGATTATGTTGTCATTTTCCAAATATACTGGGAAAATAGCTGTGAAATATTATTTTTTTATTATCTCAATCAAGGGACAGTATTTTTAAACTCAACAGAAATCTTCTGTGTCAGACAAAGTTTTGCTATTATCTGCTGTTAATTTTTTTATTAAATATTACTAGTTTCTACGGTCTTTATTTGTTGTTGGGGAGTTTGTATTTAAGAAATACGTTTCTGCTACTTGGGATTCTGACATTCAGTGTCAGAGTGCCAAGGGGCAGTTTTGGATATTTGTCACAAGTCGGTTTTGCTATTATCTACTGTTAATTTTTTATTAAATGTTACCAGTTTCTACGGTGTTTATTTGTTGTTGGGGAGTTTGTTTTTGAGCTTCTTATCACTCAGAAATACATTTCTGCTCCTTGGGATTCTGACATTCAGTGTCAGAGTGCCAAGGGGCAGTTTTGGATATTTGTCACAAGTGTTTGACAGGAAGAAGGGGGTACAAAGTACCGAGGCACAGAGAATTGCAGGAGACAGAGAATTCCCAATGGCATTGTTCCCTCCCTCTCATATAAACACTTGATGTGTGAGAACCCTAAAATTCAGTTTGTCTCTTCTGAAAAAAGACATTTCCAAGGCCTGGATGTGATTCGAGATGGAAACATTCAGTGTGCAAATGCAGCATGGAGATTCTTTGCTATTTATCGTGGTGTTCCCAAGTGCTGTGATTACCAAGGCAGTAACTCCACGAGTCAGGAAGTCTGAAATATTTCAGTCTGATCTTACTTCACAACAGGGTTTGAAGTTGACAGAACTTCTAATTCAGGTTGGTGCTTTAAAAAATATTTCTTAGGAACCAGTATGTGAGCACAGGAATCTGCCTTCAGACTGTACAAACAAAAGACCCTTCTAAAAATGTTCCAATTCATCTGTTTTAGGTCATTTAATAAGAGAGGTGGAGGGTTTGGAAGGCTTTTTTTTGTTGTTGTTGTTGTTGTTGTTGTTTTAGCACGTTTGATTCTGAATTTTTGAAGCACCTGCTGAAAATTTTGCCTGACTTGGCCCTTATTTTATGGCTTGGTTTAGAAATGTTTCTTCTTCCCTTCCATGACTTTGCAAAATACAGCACATCCTTCCCGTGGTGTCATTCAAGATAAAATTCAGATTTTAATCCAAGTTTATGCAAATGTTACCTTTAATATTCCCTATACAGTGAGTGCTGTTGTGTGTATGGGGCTGTGGTCAGGCCAGAGCTGGGCAGGTTTTACAGCCTGTCTCCATCAAAGCAAACAGCCCCTCTTTTGGGGTGGTGGGAGAATCTCCCATTTTCACTGCAGAGAAAAGTGTTCTCCTGCCTTCTGAGCTGATGTTTTACTTCCAATTGGTATTTCCATTATTGCCTGTGCTTTGCACAGGTGCTGCTTCGAAAGATGTTTCTGCACATAAGCAAAGGCATTTAATACTAAAGTTATGTTTTTGGAAGGGGATAGGTCTTCAAAATTAAAATATAGTTAGTGTAGGACCAGGTGCTGTTGTGTTCAGAGAAAGAAACTGAAAGTTGTGGCTGATGGGAACAAAGAGAGGAAACCTGCTGGAGGTGGGTCAAAACAATGGAGTGTTTCATGTGGGTCTTTTTCTTTACAATGCACACATTAAAATACGGAGTTTAACCTTCTTGTTTCGGCTTTGCTGCTCCCTGGAGGCAGCTCCTCTGAGCCTGGGGTCCCCCACAGCCACCCCAGAGGGATTCCCTGCAGACCTGGGGTGATGATCAGCCCCTCGTTTGAGTTCAGGTCACGTTGTCTGTGTGAGGTGTTCCAGCCACAGGGAGTTAATCTGATGGGATATACTTTGTTTGGCCAGCTTTTCAGTTTTTCCCCCTGTGACATTGTTTTCTAGACAGGTGAAATGTTTGTTTCTAGAGGCAGCTTCCCTGAGCTGATGGCAGGATGTGCAGGCTCTGCTCCAGGAGAGCCCAGGAGGCAGCAGGTCCCTGTGGGACAGACCTGGCGGTGGGTTGGTAACCAGTGGCTTTATTGGCTGAGAAGCTGTAAGAAGTGCTGAGTGGATGCACATTGCATTAGATGATGTTTAGAGGTTTAGAGAAACACCCGTGTTTGGAAGGAGGGGATTGGGGAAGGCTCCACCTGCCTGTGTGTGAGGCCTGAGCTGCAGCCCAGGGGTTTGGGACAGAGCAGGCAGTCCTGACTGTCCCAACTTCCACTTATGAATTTGTAAAATGAGGACAGCAATTTTGTAATTCAAAGCTTTGGCTTCTTTCTGATGGTCATTACTGGAGATCCTTCTGTGAAAAGGTGAAATAAATTCGAGTGGCTCCTCATAAAGATGAACTCAAATCTTGCTGTGCATATGCGAGTCATTCTCAGTGTTACACACACCACGTGAACCAAGCAATCAAATGCTTAATAAACCAAGTCATTACTTTTATGGTAAATTGAAAAAAAGTTCTTCTGGGATTTCAACTGTAAATGAATCCTTGAAAATCAATAATTAGATTAGTAAAGGATGACGTTTTAATATGCTGGCAGGAATATAGAGGGATTTGTCAGGGGAAGCAAAACCAGACTTTGCACTAAAGTGGCTTAAGTATATTTATAGTGCTAGTGATTCTGTGTGTGTGTGTGGGATCTTTGGACTATTTTAATATAATGTAAGACTTTGAGCTTTAGCGAACTCAAGTTGCTCGTTTTTTGAAGTTACATTAGTACCACACTGTGAAGTATTTTTAAATATTAGCATTACTGAGTATGAAAAGTATTTCATAAAAACATTTTTTAAAACGTTTTCTGTAGATGCTGTTGAATGAATTGATGTTTAGTGTACAAAGAAATAAAACTGAGGGCTGTAAGGTACCTGTGTGTTTCTGATCACCTCGGTTTTTGAGGGGTTAGGTATTTCTTGAGGTTAAATTGTCATTAAAACCTACTGAAAATACTGGTGCAGTTAATCCTTTCAGAGAACAGAAAGCAGCATTACCTCCAGCCACGCTT